GATCCCCACAGATGGCTCACACACGGATATCATGCACTGACTTTCCCAGAGCTCTTATTACTGAAGTTCATATATTACTCTGACAGAATATTTAAGCTTGAACATTTGTCCTTTGATAGGTAATAAATTACAGTCAACTTTTGACATTAGCCGGTTTATAAATCAGGGGCTACCATACTTTACCCTTACATTTTGAAGCACGGTGTTATTAGAGCTTTTTTAAAAGGAGTAACACAGTCATAGTGGCAAAAAGTGTAAGAGTTGCAGAAGTTACAAGGAGTGTAAGGTCAAGACTTTACTGCCCTTACAACATCCTGTAATCTAGGTATGATTGTCTTTTACTTAAATCTTCTTCACTGTAATTCTGAGTTGAAAAACTGTCCTTCTGAAAAGTCTGCAGAATACTAAAGGAGGGGAAAGACTGAATGTATAGGCATTATGAGCCTTAAGTGAAAATTATAAAAACACACAATTTATTTATTTATTTCATATCAATATGTTTTCAATCAATACTCACCAGTTACTTTTTTGAGCAAGCGAGCAAGCGTCAGAGGTCGCTGGCTAAAGTCGAACCAGAGATGTTGCTTATGAACAAGTAGGCCACCAGGACGCCCCATAAATCCAATTTCTTTATCAGACCATGACCCTCTTCATTGATTCTATGACAAATGAATAAATAAATAAAAAATCTTTTTAGTCCGACTAGCAGTGTCAGTGTCAGTCCTAGAGGTTGGTTTTATTTTTTAGAAGCACTTTAAATGGTAAAATGAAACTCTTCGACTCTTGGTTATTTAAAAAAAAAAATCCTATATCCCATTAAAGGGGTAGTTCAACAGTTTGTGTAATATGCTTAACTACTTTGTTGTCAAGATTAGATGAGAAGATGGATACCGCTAACAACCATGGTTACCACGGCTACAACCAGCAGCTGTTTGCTTCGCATAAAGTCTGGAAGCAGGGGGGAATCGACTAACCTGGCTCTGTCCAAAGGTAAAAAGAAAATGTCAACTCGCACTTCTTAAGATCACAGATTAGCACGTATTTCACACGTTTAATCTGAGCAAAGAACCAAACGTAAAAAACGACATGGGCTACTGCAGTGACTTCTTGGATTCTTGTTGTCACCATAAGGTTGCCAGGCCACAAGTACTGAGGAAATTATGGAGATTTTTTTTCCTTTGGAAAGAGCCAGGTTAGTTTTTTCTACCTGCTTCCATGCTCTATGATAGGCTTAGTAGCTGCTGGTTTTAGCCTCATATTATGCATACAGACATGAGTGTGGTAAAGCCATACTGTAGTTTGATATGAAGCAATTTCTAACAAGAAGACTGTGGAAAAAATTATAATTTCATGAACTTGTATTCCACCTTAAAAAGATATCCACATTGTGCAGATTCAAGAATCTAATTCAGTGTAGCCATTGTATCATTGCTGGTATTCCAACTACTGCTGCTGCCTGACTCACTGTACAGTTTCTTTGTGATTTATCACTTTCTGAGGGTCCTGCTATCTCTCTGTTCAGATTTTGATGGGAGTGATAAAACCAGGCAGTAAAGTAATGTCAGCTCTCTATAACCACAGCTGGTGTTGCTCACAGGAGGGCTGCTTTGATGTTGCTCAAACATTTGGGGAAAGTCTTTTTGGTATCCACGTCGTGACTGACGGGCCAGATGAGAAATACGTACAGTACATAGCCACATAGAGACGTCACTACGTCTCTGTCGGCCATGATCGGTGTCGTAAAGCCTCATGTGTCTCAGATGTTCAGGTTATCGTTAAATCAGACGTGATTGATGGGCTTCGTCGGGACACTGGGCAGATGCTCTTACAATGAATGTGTGTTTGCTGGACTGAGCGTGTAAGCGAGCACATGTACGAAGATAAAAGTCACACAAGTTCCTTAACTAATAAAAAGTATCATCATCACTGAATTACACTCATTTCTCCTTATGTCTTGCATCAGCATGGCTCTGTTGTTGTGAACAGCTTTTAGTCTATTTAGATCTTATGAAGGTAGATATAAAGGTAATCGTTACACAATCACACGGTAATGGATGCTGAGTGGTATGCATCTTAGAAAATATTGGATTTGGCCAAATCAAAAAAAGAAGATATAAACTTTCTCAGGGATCTAAAAATACAGCTTGATAGCCAAAAATATCTTACAAAATCTGTGATTGTCTATTGGGTCGATATGCTTTGTTGTTTTTAGGTCATCACATCTGGGAACAGGTGTATGTTCAGAGTTGGTGGTGCAAGCAGTCAACGCACAATGATGGTTTGAGAGCAAAAGGTTAAATGTGATCCAGCTAGGAACGGGAACAAAGCTCTGATTGGCTTCAGGCGAGGTGGTTTCAGATGAAATATTGGATAACAGCTTCAGAGCTGGGGGTAAACAAGATGAATCCACAGTGGAGCCTATAAACATCAGAAAACTTGTTGTACGGGGCAGTTCCCAGAGTGTGCAACTGTTTGAATGTGAAGCAGGGTGTTGCTGGGAGCGGGAAAAAAAAAAAAAGAGGCCAGTCCACTTACCCTGCACATACAGAGCCAGAGAGAGGGAGAGAGTTTAGGAAAGGGAGTGACTCTGGCTGACCTGCCTGGCGATCACATGTCTAGAGGTTTCTGAACTGACGACTGTGTGCTCTCCCATGCTCTGGTGCTCTCATAAACTTCTAACATAAACCCCAGTTTTCTGTCAGGTCTGTAGACATCCTCGATCCCTGCTACTCTGCTTGTTTGGAGATATTTGGAGAAATTCCCGTTTGACAGATGTCCCACTTTAATCTGTTCCCATTTGTCTTTGTGATGGTTGAATTGAATATGCTGCATATTCCTGACGCCTCAGTCTGTACTATATTTGCTCGTGTCACCTATAGGCATAATCATGAGACGTGTTTTACCTGTCATAAGTTAGGTAGGTTATAACAGAATCCATATGGCTTTTGAGAGGGATGGTTCTTTCTTTTGCTGATTAATATTGCATCTCCTAATGTGATGGAGCAGACACAAGAAAAACACCATCATTATGTATTGGGTATACACCTGTATGTGCTGTACTGTGCTAGATCGAAGTAAAAATCCTTCTTTTCTTTTCTGACAGACACTGGCTGAAGTGACTGAGTGTGAATTCTTAAACAGTACAAAAAGTACTGTTCTCCTGTCATGAAAAATGTCCTGCATAAGTTGTTTATAGGGGCTCAGTAAAAATGATAACACCATTACAATGTCTATTTTTCATTTTAAAGCTTGGGGGGCAAATTGATGGTAAGAATTTATGTTTTGAGCTGTGGCACTTGCATAATTACATAGTGATGTAGTTGAACAGTTTAGATATTAAGTGATAACCTATTTTTAACTGGCAATTATCTCAGCGAACACTGGATGGCATTGTTGCTGTTCAAGAACCCCGCAATTTGCAGCAGCACTTCATTTTCCCTCACTAGGTTTAAAGGGGGAAAGAGAGTACGCCGTGATGCTTTTCAACGTATTGGTATTTGATTTACATATTGGAATTTACATATTTGATGTTTTTGTGTCTTTCTTGCAAAGTGTCATTCGAATCAGAGCGAGACTGAAGCAAAACACAGAAAATCCAAAGACTTGAGTCAGACAGGAGAAGTCATCAAACACCTCACACACATCACGCTTGGTTCCTCTACCAGACCTGATGGATCTGTGTAAATAATACTTAACCTAAATAAAGCACATTAACAGATGGTGTGCTTTTATATGTCACATGAGTTGTCAGTCCTTCATGCAATAGCTTAACTGATGTATAATAGTTCCTTTTTAGTTTGTCTGTTGCCCATTTTCCTCTTTATCTCCAGCCAAAGTAGAAATATGTGCATCCTTTTAATGATTTTCTAAACCTAGGAGTGTTTTTCAAGGAGACTACTTCACTGAAGTTGGTCCACTTACCATCTGCTAGAAGTGAATGTTTCTGTTTACACACTGTTCCCTACAGGAACATACAGTAGCTGTCTGGCAGCTATCCTGGAGTAGCAGACAAACCAGATTTTCCAGTCTGGCTTTGGCTCACCCACTTCACCTGTATTTTGTCCCGGACATCAGACACCACGGGTCACCGAGGAACATCACTGTCACTGCCAATGACAGGCTAGTTTCAAGCCGTTCTGTGAGCAGGTGACATCAACAGAGTGAAGTGGCTTAATCTCCTGAAATAAAGGACTGAATTATTATATCTTAGTCATTATCCCAGCAGGGAAAATGATTGGGTATTTTCAACTCGACATTAAGTAAAAATGTGAAACAGGAGTTGATTACCTGTCAAAAAGTGTGAGCCTGTTTATCAGCATATTCCTAGTATTTTAGTCTGAACTGCTGCTGCTCCCTCAGGCAAGAGCTGCTTTCCTTTTGTGCAACATAATGATATCAATAATAATGATACATATGTATGCCAGAAATTTTTATCTGAGCAGTGTAACAGTTCCAACAGAATTATGAATTGCCATTGCACTCCAAAATACAAAACATCATGAGAAGTTAAATATTTCCTGAAATGCAAGACTTCAAAAATCTTCTACCTTTTTTTTTTTTGAACAAATGACTTCAATGGTTCTCTACAGTTTTGTCATCATGACAGAAATATTTTGATCAAGGCTTGTTATTCAGAGTTTTACTTGAATGCCCGCCTCGGTGAAAGTGAATAAATTAATAACATTTTTTCACTGAAAATGATCAGACTTTGAAATGCAAATGAGATTAATGACTAATTGTAAAACAAGTCCTTTTTTTTTTTCATCAGCATGTGGACCAAAAAAATGAAATGAAATGAAACCCATCAGAAAGAGAATCTTTCTCCACCACATTACGCTTGTGTGCTGTGTACACTTCTGCTGGAAAGAACAGAGGAAAGTGTATAGATTAGTCTTAAAGTGCATATACTGTATAAAATACATGGCCATTCACAAGAGCTCCTGTGGCACAAGAAGAAAAGAAAAAAAAAAGATGTGAGGCTCTTTGAGAAAAAAAAAAAAAGTAAAATATCAGTCTTGCTGATCTTGCAGTGTCAGAGGCAGTGATCTCCCCTTGTTTGTGACCTCTGTCAGATGACAGTGAAGGTCTCCAATAAGCAGCAGTGTTGGTGAGTAGCACTCACTGAACTGTCTCCTCCAATAGTGGTCGCTTCACATCCTCTTGAAAGAAACAAGTGCCTCAAATACCAATTCTGGCCCTTCCCCCCTAATTGTTTTCTATGCTCCGCTGAATCTGTCTTCACCGCTGCTCTGTTCAAAACCTGCAGCACCATAACCTTCACTTTAATGGTGCCTGAACGCAGTGCTGCTAATTCCCAACAGGTAAGTGAGACTTTCAAAATAAAACATTATTTGGAAGAACCGTTGACGTAAAAAATACATATGTGCTATAAGCAGCATCTCCAGGGAGGGCAGCAGCAGCAGCACAGCTGTCGAAGTGGGTTCTTCTTCTTATACCTGGCAGCCAGCTTGAACTTCTCATTAGACGCAGCCACATAGTCCTGTGTCCTCTCTACATTGGTCTGGATGTGTTCAATGTAGGCCCCCTGTTCCTCCACCAGCATGAAAATGTCCATGAACAGGTCCCGCAGCTCCTTCATATTGTTCTCCAGGCTCAACAACTCCTGTAAGTGGAGAAGGATTATGGGATTAATGCCGCAGATATGAGGAACATTACTCAGAGGCTGGAGGTGGTCCGAGAGAGAACTGGAGGATACAATGGGGGAGCGGACTCGGATGCATACAACACAGCCTGAGCACAGATAATACTTGAAACATCCTCGTCTGACTTTTATATTCTTAGATCTCTGTGTATTCAACAGAGGTCGACAGAGAGCGCAGTTTATTTGTCCTCTCAATGAGTTAGTATTATTCACGCGGTGTCCCAGGTCCACACAAGTGTCTAATAGATGCCTAGAATGAAAATCGGACAGGGTCTGGGTTTCGTGGACTGCGGTTTACAAGATGTTTTCTGAGCCAAGACAGGAGAGCCAGTCTGCTCTCTCCTGTTAGAACCCACAACTGATTTAATTTCCATTTACTTATTTTCCCATTTGTGTCAGGTATAATGATGTGTGAAACATGCAATAATGCCACGGTCATGTCATCTGCAATAGAAGATAGATTAAAGGTCTTGATTCTCATGCTTATGACTTGCAAGCATTCATGCTATCAGACAGTGAGACTATCCCATATGTCGTCTGCGCAAACAGCTTATTATGAGCCATAGCTTTTGTTGTTCCTCTTTGTTCCTAAACCTAACCAGACTGTGATCAGAGTGTAGGGATAAATGGCCTATGTGGTCATTCAACTTCAAGATGACAACCACCAGTGTAATGAGTGAAAATTACGCGTGAAGTGCATATTCATCAGCAACAAGCTTCAGCTGTATGATAACAAATGTGTGCATTTACCAAATAAAGATTAAATCTGGGTTTATCTACTTGAATTAAGTATTTTAGCTGACTTGAGGCATCAAGTGTTTGATTTATGAATGTTTACTTGACTTTCACATACTTCCACATCATTTGGTGCCGAGCTGAATATATTGGAGCTTTCAGAAAAATCTGAGATTCACACCTAAAGCTCTTTGTGAGTCGATATGTTAAGTCTTCGACTTGATGAGAAAATCGAGACAATCCTTCAAAATATGTTAGGAAGCGACAACAATGTTCTCTCTAAGTTAATAGCTTGGCAAACTGTGTATTTCTAACAAAGTTTATCACATTACACAATAATAGCATTCATGTGAAAACTTTGTCATAGCTCTGGGTTTTTCTATGTTGTTTGTAATTACCCTCACCTTGTGTCGCTGTTCGATCTCAGACAGCTGTGACCGTGTGATTCTGGCATCATTCAGCAGGTTCTCGTTGAAGACCTCCCATTTTCCTGTGGCGACCATCTCATTTACCTCCTCCTCCGCCACATCCCTTCCCGATACCTCCAGCTGCCGGATAATAAAGTGCTTACAGCGCTCCTGCTTTGTCAGCAGACCTTCATTATACTGCCGCATTACCTGAACATAATTATAGCAAAAAGAGAGAATGAAAAGGAAGGAGTGGGAGGGAAAATGAGAAATGAGAAGACATTTGAGTCCCATCTTTCTTAGCATAAGTGTAATTTATGCATGGTTCCTTGACCCTCTCGACACCACTGGTGGTACAACAAAGGATACTATGCTGCTGGGTGGGTGTGCAACACAGTTGCTGTACATTTTAGCATAGAAAGACACTCATGAAGTGAAGTGATCCAGCAATTTAGTGATTCCACTCTCTGGTTCTGGCAATGTTATCATTTCACTTAATTTCACTTATGCATTAGTATATAAATACAAATAGAATGAGTGATTTTTTTATTCTAATGTTGAAACAACTGTTGAGACGTCTTCAAGGAAGCAAAATTAAGCTCCATTCAAAACCAATGTATGGACTCCAAGAAATGACAATGTTTCAAGTATCCAGAACAGTTGTAGATGATGACCAACCTGCTGGAACTTGAGGTGGAGTGCTGCGTGCTGGGAGTGTTGTATTCTCGTTGTAACAGCAGTAGGTCCCTGCTGGTCCTCAGTTCTTTGGACCTGTTTTGAAAGGGCATCTAAACGTCGGTGGAGGCTTTCGGCCTGGAGCTTGATGTCTCGTGTTATGCTGCTCTCTTTCTTCATCACACTGAAACGACGCATGGTGGCCACCAGGGTCTTTTGCTGCTGGGTGAACTTAAGTACCTGTTTGTGGTTGAGATTAGACAAAACCTTTGTTCTTGTGACCAAAACAGAAAGGAGGAAACTTTATTTCTATATGAAAGAACTGCAGGATTATAAATTATCTTCCAACTTCTCAGTCAAGTATGAAATTTTTATAATTCAACAAAGAAGAGTTTGGATTTATAAGAAGAAGAAAAAGAAAATAGGTGATGTATTTTTTTACCTCTGTCTCCAGCACTGTGATGTCATCTCGTATTTGCTGGGCCTCAGACAAGAAATTCTCAATGATTGGCTCTTCCTCGAACAACACAGCCTGTGGCGTGATGACCCCGACCACCACAGAGTCATCATTATCACCCTCTCCTGAGAAAGGATTGGTATTCTCACTTGCTGCCTCAGAAAACTCTTGAGCCCTCTGCTGCAGCTCTTCCAAGCGGTCTTTCATTGTGGAAGGTGTCCTCGCCAAAACTCGCTCCTCAGGACACAAAGTTGTTGTAGTATGTGCGGTTCTTGCCAATGCTGACAAGTGGATGCTGAAAATAATAACGTTAAACTTTAATGACTCCTGTTGGCAAGCTGGGTTGTTGCAGAAGATAGTAACAATACAGTTGAACCAGGGAACCCAGACTACAAATGTTAAAATGGAGGATATAAAGGAAGATGTAAACTCATACTAAACTGAATGTGTCAAGTAGAGGTAGTCAAGTTAAAACAGATGCAAACGGGGGGATACATAACTTCAGCTTTGTAAACTATATTTATTTCCATGGTGTAGTGCTGCCAGAGAGCAGCAGTGACCCTACACCACTTTATTTTCTCCAAGTGAGGATTTGCAGTTCCCATAATCCAGTTGAAATTCATACATATTTTTAAGTGCTTGAAAATCCAATCATCACTAAAGCTTATGTCATACTGTAAAAACAAATGGACTGGTCAAAGTTGTCATATTGATATTTAACGTGATTTGATTGATTGACAACATCAACTCATGCATGCAAGTAACAAGAAGAAAACATTCCAGCTAGCTGCTGTTGGCCTTTGAGCTGCGCAGTGGATTAAATTATTTTTCTGTCTAGCTGATGTTAACTAGTAAAGATGAAAATCCAGTAAAACATTACAATGCCAGCCTGTTAAAACTTGAAATCCAAGGTCATAGCGTTCATAGTCTAGCCTGTTGGATAAGCCTGCACTGCAGCTTTTCCTTAAAATGGATGTTTCAAATGCGGCTTCATTTGCACAAGTAAGTAAATTAAATCATTCAAAACACTACTTTCATTTCGACCTAAATTTCTAAATGCCATGCATATTACAACCTACTACATCCATGGTATTCTCTAATACTGCTTGGCTAGATGTGTTTCTGATTGATGCGTAATATTCTCAGCATAATGAGATTAAGTCAATCCAACATTTGATCATGTGGTCAATTATAGTTGACCAATCTATGTAAACTAGACTACAACGAGCCACAATTTAACCATACACATGCGCAGTACTTATAGCAATACAACTCTGTTTGTATAAGGTTGATAATTTCACCGTCACATATAAATAAATAAATTCAATAGAAGTTCAGATTTCAGTCATTTCTTTGCAGCACACAGTAATGTGATGTTTTTTCAGTAAAAATATGTTTCAGAAAAGAACAATTTGAAATTCATTAAATTATATCTAATTCCATTACTGCTCCATCACTTTCACATTATGGGGATCAGCTTGTTTTCTCTCTCTTCTGGAACTGAATGGGAGGTTGATTTTATCTCAGCTTGGCATGGGGGTTAGAGGTGGTGGTAAGCTGTTAGACTCTACCAAAAGAGGAGAGGTGTGCGAAAGTTGTCCTAGTTACCTTATATGTCCAAAGGTAGGGCAATAATTTTGCTTGAGTAATTATTGTAACTACTTTTTCAGTGATTATATTTTTCAAGTAACTTGCCCCACTCTGCTGGTGAAAACATAACAACTGCTAATGCTAAGCTAATGAGCACATTGTACCCACAGAGTTAGAGGATGTGTTTTGGTACTCTAGAGTAAATGGTGAATAAATGCATATAGTGCTTTTCCCCCAATAATCCCAACTCCAATAACAACTCTATTACACTAAAACAAGACCATACATGTAAGGTACATATTAGTAATGAATAATGAATGAGCAATATACATATAGTATGCACAGATCATCTTTCATACAAATTGAGATGTTCTGATATGCTCAGTATCAACACTTTTTGACTCATCAGACACTGTATGTGGATAACAAACAAATGAATAAAAAGCACCTGAGGACACAATTCCTTTACAAAATACAGCTGCTGTAGTTGTGTAACTGTGTACTCTGGTGTGTCCAGTAGTGAATCAAAGCCTGATCACTGTTTGTTTATATCACTATAAACTCATCTGTCCTGATATGAGCATAACTGATGAGCCATATCTGCACTCTGCTGAACACTGAGATATATTTTTAACTATGAAAAACAACATGAGATAAACGAGCAGAAAGTTTATCTGCGACATCAGTCAAATTGACTCAAGTTCATTTTCCCATGAGAACTGAGTGGGTTGTTTGTGTTCAGCGGCACACTCAGCAAAAACAAAAGACAAAGAAAAAGCATCGGGTTGTCCAGCATCTTAAACAGTGACAAGTAGGAGAAGTGACCTTGATAAACACAAACTAAAAGAGCAAACACACACACACACACATACACACAATATCTCAGATGTGACTGTTGTTTACTAAGTGTGGAAATGAAAAAATTATCTTCACAGCAACTGCTAAAGATTGAACGCATTTCACTTTTTAACTACAGCATGCTGATATCTGCCAAAGATGAAGTAAACAAGTGACGTGCTTCTGATTAAAAAGCATGAGATGCCGGATCTGATTTAATAAATGCCTGAATTCTTAAATGTGAAGTGGACTCAACCACAAAGTCCTATGCATTGAAATGGGCGTACCAAAAATTTAGAAACAGCCCTAGCAACACGGGGATTTGGGTTTTAGAGGCCCTAAACATAATCTTTTGGAAGCACATGACTGTGTGGGGGGAACAGAGTGTTTGGCTGATGAGAAATGGAGCATTTCAAATCACAGACTATCCCATTTCTGGATAGGTTTCAAACAGGAAAGACCCTATTTTCAGTGTGTGTGTGTGTGTGTGTGTGTATGTGTGTATGTGTGTTTGTCTCTCAGAGTTCAAAGAATGTAAAAGTATCTTTTGTTTTCTGGGCTGGTCTCTCTCCTTCTGTATTTCTCTCTTCTCTCTCTCCCTACCTGCCCAGTCCAGAGAGCCGATTAAAAAAATTGCTCAAAGGATTTGGGAGCACATTCTCCTGTGTTTAGCCTAAAACCTGGAAGAAAGTGGGGCATGGTTCAAGGAGTCTTGCCTCTCTCTCTCTCTCTCTCTCTCTCTCTCTCTCTCTCTCTCTCTCTCTCTTTCTGTGATTGAACATGTTGTTCTCTAAAACAGGCAAATATTTTCCTTCTAGCAATCCATCTGCTGCTTTGTCTGTGTTTCTGAAGGAAATATTGTGTTGACATTCTCCCATCTCCGTGCAGGTGGAAAAATAGGAGTGCCCAAATGTTGTATTTTATTATCACAGGTCAAACATTTGCGCTGTGCATGCTTGGTCTTTAAACTTGAACAAAAATAATGAGTCCTGCTTAAAATATTCCAAAAGTTGAAGGTGGTTAAGTAAGTGGTCTTACTTTAACTTCTTTAAATTCAAGCTAGTCTTTCTATTAACAAATGAATAGCACAACATAGAAAAAAAACACCAGAAAAATACAGGCTAACTTTGCTGCATAAGTCCAAGATTTATTTCAACATACTTTTACACACATTTAGAGTTCAGTCTGAAATGAGGGTTTTACCTTAATGTTGTTAGTATTCCATCATGGGTTGTCTGAGGAGTATTTCCATGCAGAGTTCACCAGGAATGTAATCCAAGACAAGCTGACACATCTTTGATATCATCGTGTCATCTTCATATCTCCTCACATCCACCTGATGTTTGTCAGCTGTGAGTTACAGGTCTGAATACTCTGTGACAGTTGTGCCACCAACTGTTTAGTGGGACAGTCAGACTCACGAGGAGGGAAAGTTCTGAGGAAGTCTGGGTGAGTCAGTTGTAAGCACCGCCCCTCCTTTTGAGGAGGGGAGGTATGGCCAATAGGAAAGAAGCAGACTAAAGGGCCATTTGGTTATCAAAAGAAACAAGAGGTGACGTGATTAAGTAAATGAGGAAGGAGAGACGGTATGGACAGCACAGGGAGCTCATAAAGCCTTCCCTCAGGCCAATGCCTGGACAGGAAAGTGGAACAGAGCAAATAGAAGTGTATTGTGTACATTGCTGGGGCCAAACAATGGCGATAGCCGTTAGGGTGTCAACCAGGGTGTTAGGTTTCTCATCCGCAAAGTTGATTTCTATGTGAAATGTCTGGGTTCCTGGGGTAAGCCCTCTTGGTCTGGGGGCATTGTACTCCTTAGGCCCCAGTAACTCCACTGACTACTTCTGACAGATTTCTACTGACAAGCTCCCTAAAACCCAGAGGCCTTTTCAACACGGGAAGGGACGCAGTCGCTGTCTGCTATGCAGCATAACACGCTGTGCAAAGCTGTTTGAAGTGCGCCGTCAGAGGCAGAGGGGGGAGACAAGTTTGGAGGATGAGAGGAGTTTGGTGGGGACAAGAGTTCAGACTTCATCATTTGATACTTTGGAGGCTGGTTGCAGAATTTCTTATAACTTTGCAGCAGCCATGTTGTTAGTGTGGTGGCCTGTGATGGATGGGAAGGTATACTTCAGGTAAAGGGTCAGATATTTCACGACTTTTTATTTACCTGAGTTTTCTGTTGATTTTCACTCTCTCTCCACAGTGTATTTTTGTTAATCCAACAGCAGTTTAAAATTGCCAATAGCCCAGAGGTCCTTTTTTCAACCCAAAGAGGAAAATTTAATCCTTTAACTAAAGTTTGAAAATCACCAAAACTGGAATAATGAGGTTTCTCCTTGACAACATCATGACAAATCATTTCCAGTGGGTGGTAGTGTGTTGCTTCTCTGAAAAAATTAAAAGCACATTAACCACATGATGACTATGCAAAACAATGTTAGTAAAGTTTTATCTTTCTTGTACCAGATGCTACTCTACGCCTGTAATAATGTCGCAGTGGTGTGTTAACTGTGAGTCATCTATCCCTGGTGGCAAGATATTATGACAACAAAGCAAAACCGGTTTTCTGAGTGTCAGAATTCACCTTCATCAGCATCACCGGAACAAGCTAACTGTACTGTACGTGTTTCCTGATCAATCATCTATCCCTTTTGATGGAGAATAGGTTGAATGGGATTAGTTCTCTCTCTCTCTCTCTCTCTCTCACTCTCACTCACTCACTCACTCACTCACACACACACACACACACACACACACACACACACACACACACTCCAACTCCCCAATGACAAGCTTCTCAAACCTTGGGACAAAATTGATCTCATCTCAATATTTGTAATTGCTTCGACTCTGTCTGTAGAATTTAAATGGGCTTTGATAGAACAACACTGAAAAAGAAATGTCAAGTAATTTGCTGAAGCTTTTGTTCTCCAAGGTCGAAAGCTTCTCAGTATTGCCTCCTCACTGGCTGTAAACTAGTTGCCTCCAACGTGCACTTCCAATCAAATGCTCTAGGCTTGTTAGGACTGTGTTTACCAATTCAATGAAAACAGTGGGATTTATAAGCAGCTTGATAGAAAATGCTGCCTGAGAGGCTCAACTTAGAGAACAAAAGTTTGCTCTACCAAAAAAAAAGAAGTTTTTTTAAAGCTGCGCTAATTAATATTTGTACATTTATGAATGGATCAAATGACTATATGTAATGTGAAATGGGTCATTTGTAGTGACAAACCTTCTAAAAGTTATCGCCCCCTTAAGCTTTGTGAAGTGTTTAAGTGTCTTTTAGCTCATTGTTTTGGTTTTATAAAAACCAACTTCACTATTTTGGTTCAGTTTGACAGCTAGCAGCTGTTTGTTTGGTGACAAAAGCTCTAATAAACCCACTGGACACCACCTCTCCAGTACCAAATGGCATACAGACAAAGTAAGCAACTAGCTGTAGTAGATACAGTGGAACATTTTAACAGTTAAAGAACCAAATATTTCTTTAAGAAGCTGGTGAGCACTAAAACTTTGTCAGTAGGTGGACACATTACGGCAGATCAATATTAACATTGCTTTATCTACTGCATGTTTAAAGGAGCTACTTGTAAATTTTCGATCGTGATTTGTTGCCGGGAGCAGGTGGTGGTGATTATTTCTTGACAACAGGAGGTTATAATATAATAGCAGCGCTACGTCAACTAAGTGACAAGACAGGCCGGGGCTAGCTGCTTAGCTTGCTAACTTCAGTAGAAGAAAAGATCTGCTAGAGACAAGAGTTAACATTGCCATTGCCTGCCACCGCTGGAGACAGCTGTTGGTGAGTAAAGGAATGAAGTTGCGACGCTTCTTCTAGCCCACGAAGTAAACAGCCTTTAATGCTAACACTGGGTATGTAGCAAAAGCAAAACTTACAAATAGCTCCTTTAAATAAGCAGTTATTTGCTAACACAGTTGATAGTATATCATTATCAGGTCATAATGTGTCTATATTCTGTTTGCAGCATAATCTTGAGCACACAAGTGGCCAAAAAGCAAAGAAGTATAATGAATATACAATGCAGTAAGTTACTTATGTAGTTGTGCACAGGTAAAAGTCACTTATAACAAACACTAAAAAGTATTCAACTCCTACCATTTATCACTCTTGGAGCAAAATAATTATTACATCACACGTAATTGCTAGAAAAGTGATGAAACTTGACCTTGAACTTGAAAACAGATTTATTTGTTTAATTTCTACTGCTGTGCAGTCATATTGCATTGTCATACACAGGAGAAACAAAAGTGAGGCCAACTGAATGGGAATGACTGGGTGACAGGGAGTATGAAAGAGAGCAGAGAGACAGTACTTCAACCTAAACAAGCAGACATTTAAGAAAATAAGTGTTGAAGATGTGATGTGAAAAGCATTCAAATGCAACACCTCCTTGGTGTTTCATCTTTAATACACTCGATATGAAAGAGTGTATCAGGTTGTCTTGGTCATTGTAGCACGAAGAGTTTGTCTCACAGTATAGCTGTTGGAGAGCTCTCCGGGTATTGCTGTAATTGAAGTGATGTCAGGGGGAGTGCTTTGCTATTCTTCACTGTAGGGTCCAGAGACATAGAGAGAGAGAGAGAGAGAGAGTGAAAAACAGAGGGAGGTAAGACAACAAGTCCCAAACAGCCTCTCAGCCACAACCTTGAGAGTGATATTTAAACATTGCCAGAGAAGATATGCAGTGTTTTCTCTCTGAGGGGAGATAGAAAAAGGAGGATTAGATGAAACTGACATGGAATTGGAAGCCTATACAAATACTCATATAGTGAAACTGTTGGATTTACCAGTGTGCTCAGTGTGTTTGAAGTTTACCATTTTCATGCTGCAAACTCAAAATAAACATCCAAAAGTACAAGTGTTGCCTCTTGTCAGGGTGGAGAGCCTCTGAAAACAGCAGATATAAGTTTTCCCCTGACAGCCAGAATAATGAAATTAGGACAGAGTTCATTGCAGGGACACCCCCAACGCTGCGGAGCGAAATGCTTCAAAAGACACCTCAATGATTATGAAACATGTCGTCATGCATCTTCTTTGTAGGGAATTAGTGTAAGTATGATCCACAGTATAAACCTGAACCACCTGCAGTCACAGAGGAGCCTTCGACATACCGTACAAGGATGAAGAAATGGGGCAATATCTGAAAAAGAAAAAGAAAAACGGTATCAGCCTGATATAAGGGTCATACCCAGGGAGTAAGAAGGAAAGGAGAAAAAGGAGATAAATGAGTGAGGGGAGAGAGACGGTCAGAGGGGCAAGGATAATGAGGTCAAAACCATCGTCATTAAGCCAATCACAAAGATTGATTCCGAGGTCGGTGGCCTTGCTTACTAAAATGAGGCAATCAGAGATCTGGATATTAAATGTCTCCTTTGGGCACTGTATGAGATTGTGCTTAGGGTCATTTAGGTTTTAATTTACACTTGAGCTGCAAATACTTTAATAGCTAGCCCTGCCAAAATCCCCTGTGTTACACGACCACTACAAGTCTCAGGCTGTTCACCTTTTTACCTACAGTATATCTACTTCTTTTCACAGCGCCGGCCATACACAGAGGCATCCGTGTGGTGGGCGCCAACAATTGACCAAACCAAATCTGAACCCAGTACTGAGAATTATGAAAGTGGGGAAAGCCTCGTCTTGCACAAACGCCGGCTTCAGGGGTTGTTAATTCAAACAAGTCATTTCAGCTCTGCTATTGTTGATAAACTCCTGCTCCCAACAGCTAATGGTAGTGAGCATAAGTGTGAGTTGGAGAGATGCCAGGGCAATTATGTGTGTAAAGATAAACATGGCGTTCTTCAAGTGAAAAGGCTTTTGTTTAACTCACAGCTCTTGACTGCTGGGAGAAGTGAATGATGGGATACATAACCAAACACTGTCGACTAGTTATCTTCAAATGTGCATTCTAGTCACAAAGCATCCCAGAATCCCCCCAAAAAATACTTTGAAATTCTAATCCTAGATATTGGTTTAATTACAACTGATTATCATTTTCATTATGGACTAATTAATTGTATTTCCCTCTTATCCCACACTTACTACTTTTGTTAAATGGCTCGAATGGAAAAACATCAAGTCCTTATCCTCTCCTGAGAGCCAGGACAGAGATCCACTGCTCCACACAGTCAACAGGACTCTCCTCTTCTGTTTAAGCAAGCACTTCAAACATGGGTCATTTCACCCCCTAGTGTCATGAGGCTGTTACATCATCCTCTGGCCTGTGTAGCAAAAAGGGAGGGTGCATTTGATAGAAGCAACCCTGCAGGAAGATAAGCGGAGATATCTTGTGTACTGCAGATTGGACAGAATGACACATAACCCAGTTTTCTTACTTTCTCAGAGTCGTGGTGTTTGTGTCTATTTCTCT